CACACACACACACACACACACATACACACACACACACACACACACACACACACACACTCACACACACACATAATACACACATACACACTCAACGATGTTTCTGGTGTAGCAGTTACGCGCTTTGCTGTCGCACGCAAAAGACTAGAGTTCGATTCCTGAGTTGGGAGAACTTTTTGTCGAATAGGTTTAGTCTTTTTTCTGGAATTTTGTATCCCTCTCAGCCCGGTTTGGCCTTGACAGGCAAGGTGGGGAGTCCACCTCCTAAATGATCCAAATTGTATCGATGGTGGCCTAAACAACATCCACTTTTAAGAAAAAAACCAAACAAACACACACACGCCTAACGCGCGCGCTCACTCACTCAAACACACACGCACACACACACTTACACACGCACACGCACACACACACACACACACACACACACACACACACACACACACACACACACAAAATAGTGGCTCCAGCGCACGAGAGCGAACTTGGCTGTACACTAATTTTTACCACCTGGTCCAAATTGTACTTGACTCTAACACTTTGGAATCGAACAGTGACCACTATAAAGGGAAAGGAACTGTGAATTCCATCCAGGAGAAGGAAATTTGGGACTTTATGAAATGTCCCAGTGAGAGCCTTCCGAAGTCTACTTTCAAAGACATCCTTAGTAGCAAACCTTCTTTCTGCAATGTCCACTGTTCCTCTCTCGCTACTGCTTCAGTCCATATGAGCGCGAGGACACAATAACAATCTTCAGTTGGTAGGAAATTTTTAAATTTTGCCCGGGTTGCGGCAGAAGCCTACTCTTATCAATTTTGAACCACAAAGGGATCTTTAACATGCGCAACTTGCACACACGGGACCTCCGAGATTTTTCACCCTTAGCCGAGAAGGTTAGGTGTAGATTTTCCCCACCACACGATCAGGGGCGTGGCTGAAAGACAGCAGTAAGAAGGAGCCAAAGAGTAGCAATAGAAAGGCTGCAGAAAGAGTCAGGAGCCCACGCCCTATTGAATGAGAGGCGAACACCTTAACCTCTTGACCACGAGAGCCCCCCCCCCGTTCTCTTTGGGACAAAGTGAAGAGCTAGACAGCATAGAAGTTACACCATGTATTATGCAATGTGCATTATTCAACACCATCCCCAAAGTTATTGTTCCTATGGTTTATTTGTTCACCTAAAACAGGTCTCTTTAAATTTCACTTGTTCACAAAACGTTATTTTAAGAATTGTCACGACTTGGGTCTGGATTTAGAACACAGAGATGTACGCCACACCGTTAAATGTAGGTCATTCCGTTTTTGAGTTACAGATCTAGTCTCTGATTTTTCAGACGCATCGGCTGACTCGTTGTGTTTCCTCTGGGGTCGCTGGCGTGTGGGTTGACAGCCAGACAAGGCTTGAGGTGTCAGATTGCCATGTCGTTAGTAGGTGGGGGGAGGGGGGGGGGCTACACCAGAAGGCTATCTCGCTTATTAGTGGAGCAAATTTTACCAAATTTCACACATACAACAACATAGTAAGGAGTCTTAAAATCTGTATTCAAATTTAAGAAAAAAACTTTCGTTTATATGGCTATGGCGGGCATATCGGATTTTATTGGCATGTCTTACGTAATGAATACCGCACTTATTTTTCATGAAAATAGATTGTTGTTTTTTTTTGCATGCAAATTTGTTTGTTGAACTTTTCCTAAACGGACTAGAAAAATCTTTACGAATTGTTTCCAGAGGTTGCATTCAAGTTTGCAAAATATCCGTGAAAATCTACTTTCCTGACACCACCACCAAAAAACTATTCCATATATAAAAAAATTCAGCAACAAAATTTTAGTATTGCATCTTCTCTTCATTCTGCGAAAATTTCTTTAAGATTGAATAACAAATGGTGGAGTTATTCATAAAAAGTATATAGAAAACAGGCGATAAAGAAAATTAAAAGATTGACTTTATGAGAAAGAGGTGGTGACAAACATGCCCGGTATGGGAAGAATTAATAAAAAGGCTTTAAGGGGTTCTAATGTTATGAAATAGTTGAAAGAGATGCTGAAGAAGCAAAAAATGCCTACAACTGAAAATCCATATTTTTGAGCCGAATTTGGGGCTTTTGGGGTGTAGCCCCTACCCCCTTAATGGTGTGTTACCCTCAGACTGTGGTGTTGGAGTAAGCTCTGGGGTAGCCACGGGATGGCTCTTGTTGAGGTGAACTGTGTTCCATTTACCAGTAGCTACCATGTAGGAGCGCGTATTGGGGTGCTCGGTCCGCCTAGGGGCCAGGTCTCAAGTGTGTACAGAATTATCGTGTCGAAAATTCTGGAATATTGTATTTAGCCTCGGGTATCTAGTTGCGCTGATCCTGCATAATATCTTTTATCCCCCACCCCCCTTCCTTTGACAAATACTGGGAAAATCAACAGGATTTGATGACAAGTTATCATGTTTGATGGGAATTTTTGTTTGAAACTTTCTTGCCATGAGAAGTCCACTTGGAGCACACCCATTTTGTAACGAGGTAGACCGGTATGGCAGGAAGGTAGTGTAGGGATCTTTTACTTTCTTAAGGAGAAGTTTCCTCGTCTGCACAGCTCATCTTGCCCTACCATTTCTCTGATGACAATTATCTTGGAGAGATCTGATGGATATGTTGGTGAAGCCAAACTATTTGACAAAAGTTCGGAAGCTAGGAAGCTAAAGCTACACGACGACAAAATAATTGTCTTGATTGTCATAGAAGTACAAAGTTCTATCTGTTCAGTACCTAGTCTTGAGAAATTTGAAATAAAAAATGTTGCTTTTCACAAGATATCGAGCTTTTTTTAAATGCATTTTTTCTATTTTTCTTTGAATATCTTGATTACGATTCCGAATATTTTTACGATTTTGATAGAGCAGATAGAGCATAATTTGATTTTTGACCTCGTAGTCTTAGTAACTTGAAACCACCAAAAATGTCAGATAGAACTTTGTACTTCTGTGGTAGCGTAGTAACAAAACGTTTTACCTAAAAAGGGATAAAGTGGGAACGTGGAAAAAAAAGTTGCTTATTATCATTCACAATCTGGGTGCCAATTTTGTTAGGTAACAGTATAAAGTAACAAGATCTATAAGCGAGTGATGACAAAGACAGCTTGGTTGTACCCCTCACCTCTTCCTCTCTCTGTCTCCCACTTTCCCCGTCTCCCCCCTCCACACACTGACCCACATACACAAATTACAGAAATGCCCTAGTTGATGAGGTCTTTTTTAAACCCTTTTTTCAGGGAACCCCAAAGGTGTTGTCGTGACCCAGAGGGCCTTTGTGTCAATGGTCAGGAGCATGACTCTACACACCAAGGTACAACCATCCACCGAGCAGAGACACGGATCTAAACTCTAAAACTCTTTCGTTTTTCGGGGTTTTTTGGAAAGGGGGGGGGGGGATTTTGAGGGCACTTTTATGTTCTCCTTTTTCTTTTCTCTATTTTCTGTTTTATTTCTTTAAGCTCTTGTTCACTTTTCTATTCATCAATCCCTATATTTTTATTGTCCAAGAGTCATTCATTTCTCTTCCAGTGTTAATCGTGTTTTTTTGTTTGTTTGTTTGTTTGTTTGTTGTTGTTGTTGTTGTTGTTTGTTTTTTTTTGGGGGGGGGTTCTTCACTAAATGTTTCTTTCCTTTTCTTAAACGTTCCTTCCTTCATTTATTTGATTTGTTTTTCTCCAATTATTCCCCTTGAACCTCTTTTTATCTTGTCTTGGTTCTCTGTATTCTTTCACTACTCTTTCTTGTCCTTCTGCTTCCCCTTCTTTCGTTTGTACCATTTTATTTTTCGTTCAAATTTGTACCAATGTGTTCTCGAGTTTATTCTATTTTTATGTATTCCCTTTTCCGCTTTTATTCTTCGAAATTTCTGGTCTCACTCTTTATTTAGATTAGTCTGTTTTCCTGAGACATGTGACAGCTATTTGTGTCACGACGCGTTGAAATAAGACGATCGTCAATTTTGGGGCTTTTTGATTTATTGGTGTCATGATCTATCTTTAAGCTTCATTAATGTGATTTAGCTGACAAACTATAAACATTTATCTTGAACAGAAGTCGAAATATTTGCGGTTGTAGGAGATGGGGATCACCTGGTGTCAGAAGTAAAATAAGCGGAAAAAAAGGCCGCCAAAATTTAGTGACTTCCAAAGCTTAAGTGTCCTTGAAAACTGCAAATTTACATTTGTTGTGAATTTGATCAACGTTTTTCAAAAATATCCACACAAAATTGTGTTTTTAAATGGACATAAAGGTGTTGAGCCAAAAAACAAAACTTAGAAATTGCCAAATAAGTGGGAAAACGCCGGTATCTTCGATTTCATGATTTTGACGAGCACCTGATTTCCCAACGATGCCTCACATTTCTTTTTAATAACTTGGACTTTTTCTGGGCCCTCTGGGTCATATTTTACGACACTATGGTAGGTCACCCGTTAAAAAATGGCATGATGGGTCAATTTGGCGTCATCCTTATTCTTACTTACAACTTTATCGCTCCTCGTTGGGGATATGAAGGCACGAGACTCTTTGTGCAAGATATTGAACCTGTGAATAGGGGTCCCATATAGATAATTTTAATCAAAATGTAAGAAGAATGATGATCATTGCACTTTGCCATGTTTAAATAATTGTTTCCTTTTATCTGGTACAGGGGGTTTATCAGCCCACCCCTGACGATGTCCACCTGTCGTATCTACCGCTGGCTCACAACTATGAGCGAGGATTGCACGTACGTTCCTGGATGGTTTTTATTAACGAAGTGTATACAGACCCGGTAACCGGGAATAAAGTCACGAAGTATACAGACCCGGTAGGGGAACTCTTTTGTGATTTCGGAAAGTTTCAGAGAGAGAGAGAGAGAGAGAGAGAGAGAGAGAGAGAGAGAGAGAGAGAGAGGACTGCTTGATTGAAATTATGACATTGTTCTTTTCTTCAAAATGTGATTCCTCCAACTCCAAAACGGAGGGAAAACGATAGTTCATCAAAAAGACATCCGCAATCTTCATTTAGATATAGATCTAGGCTAGCCTCGAATCTAGATCAATGATTTATGTCTTTCTGTCTAGATCTAGACCTAGGCCATAGAATAGATATAGAAGAACCTAGGTCTACCTTAGTGTAGAATTCTGTGGTCTACCCTGAGCCAAGAGGGCGCTGAAACTTTCCGAAATCACAAAAGTTCCCCTACCGGATCTGTATACTTTGTGACTTTGTTCCCGGTTACCGGGTCTGTATACACTCCCTTTTTATTAAACATTGTATTCCAGCGGATTTTAATCTTTTGGAAGCAGCTTAACCACACTAGATTTATGCATGTATAATGCATTCACCGAACCCTTCTAGTAGAGATAGCGCAATATATACATACATACATACATACATACATACATACATACATACATACATACATACATACACTCTCTCTCACACACACACACGCACACACATACACACACACATACACACACACACACACACACACACTGAGTAATGTATACATTAAATCTTGACTTTCATTGAACCCCCTGCCTCCTGAGACTGATTACCGCGCGTTAAGAAACGCGGTTGTATAAATGAATAAACACACACACACACACACACACACACACACCAAACACACACACACACATCTATCTATCTATCTATCTATCTATCTATCTATCTATCTATCTATCTATCTATCTCTCTGTCTGTCTATCTGACTGTCTGTTTGCCTGTCTGTCTGCCTGTCTGTCTGTCTTTCTTTTTACTGATACGTTGCATCACTCCCAGCCCGGGTTGGGCCTGAAAAACAGGATCAGAAGCCCGCTTCCTAAATTATTTAAGTTGTGTCGATTTGGGTGTAAAACGCTTACATTTTAATTTTCAGGGGGGGGGGGGGGGGGGACTACACCTGAAGGCTATCTCGCTTTCTACCGAACCGAATTTTTCCAAATTTCACACATAGAACAAGCATAGTAATGCGTCTTGAAAACCGCAATCAAATTTGAGAAAAAAGTTTCGTTTCCATTGATACGGGGCCATATTGGATTTTGTTGACATGTCTTCCGTAATGAATACTGCACTTACTGCTCATGGAAATTGATTGTTTTGTTTTTTTTGCATGCGTGTTTACAAACATTAGATCTAAAAGTTTGTCTGTTGTTTTTTTCCTTAACAAATTAAAAAAAAAAAAAATGAATTTTTTTTTGAGTACCTCAAATTTGCAAAAAATCTGTGAAAATTCACACTCAAGACAACACCAACAAAAAAAACATTCTAAATATAAAAAATTCAACAGACACTTTTTTGTATTACATCTTCTCTTCATTCTGTGAAAATTGGATGAAAAATGGTGGAGTTATTTTTAAAAAAGTATAGAGAAAAGTTGCGTTTTGAGAAAACGGCCTGTAAAGAAAAATAAAATATTGACTTTAAGAGGAAATGGTGGAGATAAACATGCCTGGCATGGGATAAAATACGATTTTTGGGGGGTTCCTATGCGATGAAATAGTTGTAGGAGAGGCTGAGGAAGCTAAAAGTGCCTACAACTCAAATTCCATAATTTTGAGCCGAATCGGGGCTTTGGGGGTGTAGCCCCCCCCCTCCCCCCCTTAAAAACTGCAGTTTGTTTTGAAACGTGTCAGATGGTATGCTGTGAATTATTGTTAATCATAATTCTGTTGTGAACACAACCAATACAGTCGAACCAGCTCTAATGACTACCCATCCAAGACTTTCACCTATACAAACGACCACTTCCTCCTGGCTTTTTTTCTATAATTTTTATTGTAATAACGACACTGTTCAAGAAGAGAACCAGGCTAAAGTGGTCACTTTTTTTGACAATGTGTGGTCGCTCGGACAGGTTTGAGTGTATCTTCAAAATGAATATTATTATAAAAGTCCCTTTTTTTTCTTTTCTTTACTCAAGGTCTTCCTGCTCATGCACGGCGCCAGGATTGGATACTTCAGCAGAGACATCAAGCTTCTCACGAATGATTTAGCAACTCTGAGGCCTACTTTGTTCCCTAGTGTGCCGCGGCTTCTCAACCGAATCTATGATGCTGTAAGCTGCCTGAAAGGGGTCGTGTCTTACGTTCAAGAATGTTTGGGGTCAGAAACAGAAGACCTAATTTTGATGAGTCAGTGGGTGAAAGGTCGAATGAACAAGTAGGTAGACGGGGTTGGGTGAGGTGTGTGTGAATGGGTTGAGAGGTGTGGTGGGGTGAATTGGTGGATATTTAATTGGGTGGTGAGAGTGGAAAATAGTAGTAATAATAATAATAATAATAATAAAT